CAGCCGCCCCCGCGCCGCGCTCACCATTTCTCGGCCTCTAGGGTGTCCCGACGTCCTCCCCACAGCTCGGGCGCAGGCCACAGGCAAACTGACCACGAGCGCCGCTCCGGGTCCTCAAGGGCAACCGGAAGGTGGAGGGACGCCCACCTACTTCCCCTGGCGTCCCTCCGCGGGCCTCTCCTGCGACGGGCCTGATTGGCCGAGACCCTCCCTCTTCTGAATGAGTGACAGCGACGGGGGACGCCGCGTAGCTGGCGGAGTGGGCTTCCCGCGGTGGGCGCGAGCTGGACCCGGCCAGACGCGGTCGGCTCAGTCAGAACTCGTTCCCTAGGCCCCCGCTGGCCCTTCCCCCAGCTCCCGCGGACCGGGACGCGCTGTGCGCAGAGAATTGGACTCCTTTTTCCCAGGGGAGGACGCCAGTGTAAGACGGGCGCCCAGATCAGCCCAGACTGGAATAGCGGGCTCCAGTGTGCTCCGAGGGTCTGAGGCTTGGCATGAGTCCCTGAGGCCTTTCAGAGCTCTTCTGTTTAAAACGAACACAGACATTTCAAAGAGAATTATCAAGCCAGATAGGTGCGATGGCACACACCTGTCCTCCCAGCGACTCCGAAGGTTGACGCAGGATTGCAGGTTCGAAGCCAGTCCGGGCAAATTAGGAAGACCTTGTCTCAAAATACAATAGAAGGGCAGGGTATGTAGAACATCTCAGCCCTAGACTGGGTGCAGTAACTCTTTTCCATCAACAACGAGCTGTGTGTTCTGGTTACAAAGTCTGACGCATGTGGGGCTGGGGATGTGGCTCAAGCAGTAGCGCACTCGCCTGGCATGCATAGGGGCTCAGGTTCGATCCTCAGCACCACATACAAGGAACAAAGATGTTGTGTCTGCCGAAAAACAAAAAAAAATATATTTAAAAAATTCTCTCTATATATAAAAAAGAAAGTCTGAAGCATGCAATTTACACTACAAAACTTTTTTTTTTTTAAACCCAGGGTCTCACGCATTTAAAGCAACCACTTTACCACTAAGCTGTAGTCCCAACCTTGGAAGGCAATTTCTTATTGATAATTTTTGAAGGTGCTCCTAGTGAACTTTGAAATGTATGCTATCCCTAAGGCAAACTGAATACCTATTTCACTGATATAAGAAAAAATAAAAAGCTATGTAAACTTTGGATGTGGGCTGGGGATGTGGCTCAAGCGGTAGTGCGCTCACCTGGCATGCGTGCGGCCCAGGTTCGATCCTCAGCACCACATACCAACAAAGATGTTGTGTCCGCCGAGAACTAAAAAATAAATATTAAAAAAAAATTCTCTCTCTCTCTCTCTCTCTCTCTCTCTCTCTCTCTCTCTCCTCTCTCTCTCTCTCTTTAAAAAAAAAAAAAACTTTGGATGTACATTGAAACTCAATGTGCTTAAAAATTGGGTAAAACTCCTAATGTATCTTTTATTGGAACCTGTTTTTTAAGATATCATACATAAATACACTCCTTTAATGTGCACTATTCAGATTTTTTAGTATATTCACTTATACTTGCAATTTCGCAAGTTTAGAACATTACCATCGGCCATGACAACAAAACCAAACCCGGTAGTCATTAGTTATCCCTTCACTTTCCATCAAACCCTAGACAACTACTCATCTATTCTGTTTGGATATAGTTCCTATTCTGGACTTTAATATGAATAATTTTAATATGAATATGAATAGGATTAGATAATCTTGGATCTTTAGGATTGACTTTGTTCACCTAACAGTGTTTTCAAGGAACATCTACATTGTAAACACATCCTCATTTGTTTCTGATTCTTCCATTGTTTACATGTAGCACGTTGTTTTTACTTATTCATCCATTAATGTACATTTGCTTTGTTTCTACCTTTTGGATATTGTGAATAATGTTGCCAACACCATTCAGGTACATGGTTTTCTGTGCACATATGTTTACATTTCTCCTGAGCCAAGGAGTTCAAGACCAACCTGTGCAACATGATAAGAAGTTCTTTTTTAAAAATGGAGAGGGGAATGTTAGGGCTGGGGATGTAGCTCTGTGGCAGATCACTTGCCTAGCAAGCACCAGGCCCTGGTTTTGATTTCCCAGCACTGAAAAAACGTTTAACTCTTTAAAAAGGAGTGGAGGGGACAGCAGCACCAAAGCCACAAAATTGACCAAAATTGCCCCCTACTGACCAATAGAACTGGAGTTACTTGGAAATGAGGTTAGCTTAACTCTATTCTTCCTTCTTTCTAGATAAGAACTATTTTGATAACCAGTGATATAAATAAATTCAGTGCACAGCATCCAATATAGAGAAAAGTCTCACTTCATTTACTAACAAAAGCCCAAGTCCAAAAATCTTTTTCAATACCTTTTTACTGATTCTCCCCATAGCTGCTAATGGTTTGTGGTCATTCTTATTTCAACTCATAACACTCCTCTATTTCACTACAATACTCTAAAAGAATTCGTTCTAGAGATAAGGGGAGTCAAAACATCAGGGAATACTCCCCTAACCTTGAGTTCAAAATATAGATACCTCATTTATACTCTCATGCCACCATGCCTGGTTCCATGTAGTTTTCTTTTCAGCAGCTCTGGGGATTGACCTAGGGGTAGTCTAAACACTGAGCACCAGAGATCCTGGAAGTCTCTGGCAAGAGGGCATTGACAAATGATGATTTGAGTTTTAGCTTATTCAGAATGAATGGAGAAATCTGTTTTATTTTTTTAAATGAACTATCTTTAAGAAAAATAAAAATTCCCTTACAATACTTGATCTTGTATGTACGAGTTAATATTAATTCAGAATAGCCAATGGTTAACTTGACAAATTTACAAACAATCTGAAAGCCCATAACTGTAATGGAGTATTTTAATATATCCTTACAGGAAATGAAAAAGACAATTGATAGTATACAAATTATTTGAAAAATTTCTAAAATATTCTAGAAAACATCTACAGAAGAGTCTATTTGACAAAAACATGCACACTTTATCACATACAGTGAAATGTAATTGAAAACATACTAAGATTATGTTCAACAGTGACAGGAAATAGACAAACCGCTTGCCATGAGGAAGATGCTCATTCTTAAAACTAAGGATCAGTCAATGCATTCACTGCCCAATGCAATAAAGGAAAAAAACTACCCATGTAGTTCTCTTGTTGCTGTTGCAATGCTGGGAACTAACCCCAGGGATGCTTTACTACTATCTCCCCAGCCCCACCCCACCCCCCTTTTTTAAATTGAGCTAGGGTCTCACTAAATTGCTGAGGCTGGCCCTGAACTTGGGATCCTCCTGCCTCAGCCTCCCCAGTATCTGGGATTACAGGTATACTCCACCATACTTGACCCATGTAGATTATCTCAACTTCATTCTTCCTTCTTTCTAGATAAGAACTATTATGATAACCAGTGATGCAACTAAATTCAATGCACAGTATTCAATATAGAGAAAAGTCTCACTTCATTTACTAACAAAAGCCCAAGTCCATAAGAGTCCTTTCTGAATGCACCACTTTAACTACATACAGTTACTGGCAACATTAATACAACAGGTGTTTACTACATAATGTAAGACCCTAGATGAATTCAGTCTAGAGATGAGGTAAGTCAAAACATCAGGGAATACTCCCAATCTTGCAAGTCCAAATTATGCACACATTAGAGTTTGCAGGAAAATCTAAACAGCAATGGATGCTGAGTGGAACTTGGGAGGTATCTATACACTACACCTCTATAAAGATGACAATCAAGCAATTAGTGCTAACTTTGAGAATACAGGCATGTACTGTTTAAGGAACAAGATGTTCTAGAAATGTATTATCAAGCAGATTCGTCTTTGTACAGACATAAAATATACTTACTTCACAAACCTTGATGGTGTAGCCTACTATACATCTAGACTATATGGCATAGCCTATTGCTCCTAAGCTATAAACCTATACAACATGTATCTATATTCAATATTATAGGCAATTATAACACGTGGTATTTGTGTTTCTAAACATAGAACAGGTACAGTAAAAATACCATATAAAAGATAAACAGTGGTACACCTATATAGGGCACTTATCATAAAAGGAGGCTGAAGGACTGGAAGTTGCTGTGGGTGAGTCATTGAGTGGTGGATGGATGTGAAGTCTTAGGACTTCCTGTACACTACTGTAGATTTTATAAACATTATGTGCACAGTTAGGCTATACTAATTTTTCTTAAAAATTATTTATTAAATAATATATTATCCTCAGTTTACTGCACCATTTTTACTTTATAAACTTAAAAATAACTTTTTTTCAGTGCTATGAATCAAACCTAGGGCCTCATACTTGCTAGGCAAGTACTGTAACATTGCACTACACACACAGCCCCCTGCAATCTTTTTTGCATTTGACTCTTTTATAATAACACTTAGCTTAAAACACAAGATCTTTTTTATGGTTTACAAGCACAGGCTTGGGTTTCCACACAGATGTGTTGAGAAGTGCCTCCCTCCAACCTTGTGACAACATCAGCATGTTACCCATCTGACAATGGAAAAAAAAAGAAAAACACAAACACATTGTATAGCTGTACAAAAATATCTTCTTTATGTTCTGACCCTATGAGATTTATTTTTATTTTTTCTGATTTTTAACTTTTTTGTTAAAAACTAGGACACAAACACACTCATTACCTAGTGCAGGACCATTAACAATCCTGGGAAGACTTATGAAGTCTTCCACTTCCACCTCTGTCCCCTGGAAGATTTTAGGGGGCAACACCACACACGCAGCTGCCCACAGATGGTAACAATGCCTTCTCCTGAACTGCCTCTTAAGGGACCTGCCTAGGGCTGTTTTTACAGTACACTTTTTAAAAAATAAGAATGCAACCTAAAATGATAAAAACTACAGGATAGAGAATACATAAACCAGTAACACAGTTGTCTATTATTACTAGAAGTATTATGTCTAAAACTAATTGCAAGTGCTATATTTTTACATTACTGGTAGAGCAAGGTTGTTTGTGCCAGCATTACCACAAACACATAGTACTTTGCACTATGACATCACAATGGATATGATGCCACTAAGCAATAGGAAATTTTTCAGGTCTATTGTAATCTTAAGAGACCACCACATATGCAGCCTGTTATTGACTGAAACACTATTATGCGACACACAACTGTACTCATGATCAGCATGGCAAAGCATCAGGAAAATGAGGTAGAAGCACGTATCCCTGAAGCCCTATTCATCCATCTAGTTCCATATTAATGGTTATAAAACTCAACACCCTTCATCAATTCTGCTCTCTATATCTCAAACAAATATATTATTGATGAATTCTAGCATGGAACTGGAAGAGATGGATTGTAGAAGACAGGCTACACAGTTATCTGTGTTAACACAATTCAGGAAAGCCATTTCCAACTAAGATTATATTGTGCTACCACAAGTCTCTTCTTAATGCAAAATTCATCATCTAAATCACAGCCCAAAGGAATGACTAACAGCAAAAGGTGAAAATAATTTAAATGAGATTATCCCATAAGATAAACTTTGCATATTCATAAATTTATGGCCACTATTAGCATAGAAAATAAAGTAAGTCTCCTCTGCTCCCCCTTCAAACAAGCCTATCTAAATCAGAAAAAATAATAAAAATTATATGAGTAAGAGACATCTAGTCTCTGCCACCCAAGGCCAGTAGGAAAATCCCAATGATTTCTGAATTGTCATTTTTCAATGATCTATTATTCACAAAACAAAAAAAATATTAAAAATTTTCATATTGGAAATACTCTTTGGTTCACCCATGAATTCAGCAGAATTCAAAAAAGAGAGAAAATTATAGTAACTGATTCAATGATAAAACACTACCTATTAAACGCATGTACAGTTGCTTAACAAAGGCTTACAGAATTATCTCACCAGATGTTCATGTGTGAAAGTAATAAATAGAAATCTATAGTCCAGGGATACTTTAATAAACAACTGAAAAATAAACTTGCATGTTTTATAACATTTCTTTCATGTTGTAAATGTTCTGGAATGATAGACATGAATTAATTTGTATTATGTACACTTAAAGGACCTCTCTCCAGTAGGAGTCTTTACATGAGTGTGAAGATTCACATAGAGGGAATATTACATGAATATTTGACAAAAAAAACCCTTTCCATTGCTTTTCACTTTTATACAATTCCTCTCCAGTGTGCCTTCTCATATATTATGTTAGAACATGGCCAATTGAAATCTTTCCCACATTGTTTGCATTCAATAAACTGTTCTCCAGTGTGTTTGTGTATGATTTCTAAATAAACTGGGACAACTGAAGGCTTTTACATATTCTTGACATTTATGAATATTCCTCCAGAATGCATTCTTGTGTATCCTCAAAAAGCTGATCACTGAAGGCTTTTTCCCATATTGCTTGTGGTCATAGGATTTCTCTCCAGTAAGAGCTCCTTCTGGTATTCACACTCAGAGAACTTAAAGTTTTCTTTCATTTTATATTCACAGGGTTTCTCTATAGCAAGAGTCCTTTCATATCTTCAAAGACAACTGAAAGCTTTACCATGCTGTCTACAATTAGTTACTGTCCATTGTGAGTTCTTCCATGTATTCGAAAGGAACGGGAACACTTAAATGCTTTACCACACTGTTGACATTCATAGGGTTTCTCTCCAGTGTGAGTTCTTTCATGGATCCGAAAGGATCGGGAACAACTGAAGGCCTTATGACACTGTTGACATTCATAGGGTTTCTTTCCAGTGTGAGTTCTTTCATGCATTCGAACAGAACTAGAACAACTGAAGGCTTTGCCACATTGTTTACATTCATAGGGTTTTTCCCCAGTGTGAGTCCTTTCATGTATTCGAATGGAACTTGAACAACTGAAGGCTTTCCCACAATGCTTACATTCATAGGGTTTTTCCCCAGTGTGAGTCCTTTCATGCATTCGAAATGAACTGGAACAACTGAAGGCTTTCCCACATTGCTTACATTCATAAGGCTTCTCTCCAGTGTGTGTCCTTTCATGCATTCGAAATGAACTGGAAAAACTGAAGGCCTTACCACACTGTTTACACTCATAGGGCTTCTCTCCAGTGTGAATTCTTTCATGCATTCTAAATGAACTGGAACAACTAAAGGCTTTTCCACACTGTTTACACTCATAGGGCTTCTCTCCAGTGTGAGTCCTTTCATGTATTCGAACAGAACTTGAACAACTGAAGGCCTTACCACATTGTTTACATTCATGAGGTTTTTCCCCAGTGTGAGTCCTTTCATGCATTCGAAAGGAACTGGAACAACTGAAGGCTTTCCCACACTGTTTACACTCATAGGGTTTCTCTCCAGTGTGAGTTCTTTCATGAATTTGAAATGAACTGGGACAATCAAAGGCTTTCCCACATTCCTTACATTTATAAGGCCCATTCCCAGTGTGCATTATCATATGTCTTCGAAAGCTTGGAAGAGAAATGAATGCTTTCCCACACTGCTTACAATCATAAGGTTTCTCTCCAGTATGAATTCTTTCATGTTTTCGAAAGGAACTAGGAAAACTGAAGGCTTTGCCACATTTTCTACATTTGTAGGGTTTTTCTCCAGTGTGAATCCTTTCATGACTTCGAAACGAAGTGGGACAACTGAGAGCTTTCCCACATTGCTTACACTGATAGGGCTTTTCTCCAGTGTGAGTCCTTTCATGTATTTGAAAAGTTTGGTAGTATCTGAAGGCTTTTCCACATTGTTCACATACATAAGGTTTCTCTCCAGAGTGAGTTCTTTCATGGTTTCGAAATGAACTGGGATGACTGAAGGTTTTCCCACATTCTTTACACTGATAAGGTTTCTCTCCTGTGTGCATTCTCATGTGTCCTCGATATGTTGTGTGATAAATGAAGGCTTTGCCACACTCCTTACATTCATAGGGTTTCTCTCCAGTGTGAGTCCTTTCATGTATCTGAAAGGAACTGGGCCAACAGAAAGCTTTCCCACATTGCTTGCATTTATAGGGTTTCTCTCCAGTGTGAGTCCTTTCATGTATTCGAAATGAACTCCGAAAGTTGAATGTTTTCCCACATTCCTTACATTCATAGGACTTCTCTCCATATTTGTGGTTCTCATATGGTTTGCGTTCTGTGTGACATTTCATGTGCCTGTTAAGAGATGAATGACACATGTAGACTTTTCCACACACACTGCACTCATGTGGTTTTACTCCAGGAATAGTTTTCTTGTTCTGTTTAAGATTTGGAGTCTGACGGATGGTTTCCCCAAATTGACCTTCTTTTCTTTCACAGAGTCTCTCTACAGTACAACCTCTGTAGAAAACAAGACATGCATTATCAGTGGTCTTTTTTATTAATGACGATTAAAGATTTCACAATAGGTAGCAGAACTGCACGTTTGGTATCTTCAATGTAAGTAATGAATGCTCTGGAAGAGTAACTAGAGCTATAACCAAAACAGTGATATTAAACAGGCACAGTGGCACATGCCTGTAATCCTGCAGTTTGGGAGGCTGAGTCAGGGTGATTACAAGTTCAAGACTAATCTGAGCAACCTAGCAAGACACTGTCTCAAAATAAAATTAAATAAAATAAAGGGCTACTCAAAGGTAGACTGCTTGCCTACTGTGTGTGAGGCCATGAGCTCAACCACCAGGACAAAAAAAAAAAAAAAGAAAAGATAAGAAAAAGAAGAAACCAGTGATATTCATAATGTTGAATTTATTAATAGTTTTAGGTAAACAAATACTGAATATTTATGCCATTTTTTTAAAAATCTCAGTGAAATTTTTCTAAAAGCCATAAATACATAATTGAGTTTATTTGTTTTGTTTACTTATTTCTTAAAATTTCATCACATGCTAATATTCCCTCATGGGATATTTTTTTTCTAGGTACAACTTACCTAAGATGTATCCCCTGGCTTTTGTATTTATCTTCAGTGTTCTGGTCTTCCCAATTTTCCCCTACAATGCAAACCCAGAAAAATCACTGCAAATTATTAGAAATTATACAAAAATTATTAGATTCTAGGTCCACAATGAGTTCATACCTTGCCAAATTTACTCACCAAAGTATTCCCTTTCTAAAATCAAAGTCTTAAAATCTGGTTGAGGAACAAGAAATACTTGTTCTCTAAGACTAAGTGTGGGAATGATTTTGTTCTTACCTATAGACGCCAAGTTAATGAAGGTTTCCTGCATCACATCTCTGTAGAGTTTCTTCTGAAAGGGATCCAGCAAAGCCCACTCCTCCTGGGTGAAGTTCACAGCCACATCCTCAAAGGCCACTGAGTCCTAAAACATTACACATACGTATGTGTAAAGAAGGATGGATAAGATTTACAGCATAGGGGACCTACACTCAGTTCACTAAAAAGTTCACAAGACTTTGGTCTCCAAACATTCATTCTATAACTTGGTCATCAAAACTCCGAATTTCTGTCAACAATCGCTTGCTTGTAAATTTAACAGCAATACAAATATATGGAAATTGTTTCTACATTTTACTGTGGTCACACTAAGTTTTATTGCTTTGCAACAAAAGAATACATAACATCTTGGATAAATTCTAAATAAATTAAACAAATATTTCCATTATAAGACTAGCAATTGCTCACTTTGTGCATGCTAGTCAAGTGCTCTACCATTGAGCTATTCCCCCAATCCTTTTGATTTTATTTTGAGACAAGGTCTCATCAAGTTGCCAAGACTGGCCTTGAACTTGCGATCCTCCTACCTTAGTCTCCTGAATAGCTGGGATTACAGGTGTGTGCTATCACACTCAGCTTATGAGGTTTTAATATATAAATACATACTTAAATATTGCACACTTTTTCTTCTATTCCCATAATTGCATATATGATAACAAAAGGCTGGTAGTACCTTCCATTTGTAACAATATCCAGCTGGTCATGTTCCTGAAGTTCTGTGGTTTTCTTTTTTTTTTTTTTTAATATTTTTTAGTTGTTGATAGACCTTCTTTTTTTATTTATTTGTATGAGGTGCTGAGAATCAAACCCAGTGCCTCATGCATGCCAGGCAAGCGCGCCACTGCTGAGCCACAACCCCAACCCCTGCAGTTTCTTAAGTAGTAGTCAAATCCCATTGGCTGAAAGAAAATATTCCTTCAGAGAAGAATTCATTGTGTGATATGTACCACAGACTCAGCAGTTCTTTTTTTTTTCCAAGTCCAATTTGATGCAGGGAAGGAAGACAACAGGCATAAGGAGGAAGGCATGACAACTTAGACCTCCACAGAATCCCTGTGTTCATGAGCCTCAGGGCTGCTGTTCAGTTTCTAGCACACATAAACAAAGGTGATAAGGTACTAGAGCAATTCTTCCCCTAAGAACCTTAACAGTATACCCTATGCAATGCTGACCTTCAGGATCAGAGTTGGGTTAAGAGTTGCAATTTGAAGGAAGTCTGATGAGTCCACAATGGTTGGAGAGTGAATGATGATTTGGTTCTTCAGTGTCTTCTAAAGGCCCATGTGTTGAAGACCTGGTCCCCAGCCTGTGGCACTACTGGGAGGTGGTGGAACCTTTAGGAGGTGGGGTCTACTGGAAGGAAATTAGATCATTGGGGGTGTCCCAAAAATGGATGTTGGGACCCTGGCCCCTCCTGTTTTATTATTACTTCCCAGGTGAACAGGCCTCTCTCCCACACATTCCTGCTATGATGTGCTGTGCCACCACAGGCCCAAAGTAACAGGGCCAAGCAAACATGGGCTAAAACCGAACCAAAATAAATCTTTATTATAATGTCTCAGATGACAGAAAGCCGACTAACAGGATAAATTTACCCATGATTACAAACTATATAAAAGATTCAGCAGTGCTATCCTCCAGAAGAAATGAATTCCCCTTTCTCCAACCTCAGGAGGAAGTGATTCCCTGTGTTACTCTAGCGGCTGATTGCCATGTCACTCATTTCAGCTCTCATGAGGTATACCTGAGAACCCAAGTGAGCACAGGAATCTCTCAGTCATATAATGAGCCTCAGGGCTGCTGCTCATCAGTTTCTAGCTGATCTCTAAAAGAGAGACAAAATGCTGATCTCTAAAACAGAGTACTAACCTAATGATATCCATGTGCAGGGGACAGAGGAAAATACTCCCAAACAGAAACTCTGATATGGGAGTTTACAGCAGAAATCAATATCCCTCTTGCTGATTGGTCTATGGAAAAATGAGCTGCTTGGGTCTGCCCTAATTACTCCTTGTAGAAAGAATATATATGACTTTCTCAAAGAAAGTCTTACTAATTAGTGATCAGAAAGGTTTTAACAGTAGTAGGTCTGAGATGCTTACTGTTAGCAATGCCAGCTTAAGAAATTTGCCCTTTACTCATATCTGCAAAGAGATCATTTCAGAGGGACCCAATTTTAGTTATAAGAGTGACTTGGGGTGGGGGAAGGAACTTCAAAACAAAACCTACATGGTGTAGTGGCAAATGCCTATAATCCCAGCAACTCAGGAGACTGAGTCAGGAGGAATGAAAAGTTCAAGGCCAGCCTCAGCAATTTAGCAAGACCCTACCTCAAAATAAAAAACATAAAAAGGACTGGGGATGAATCCCCTGGCAATAAAAAAAAAGGTACACAAGAGCTAATGATACAGTGCTTACCTAGCATGTGCAAGGGTCCTGAGTTCAATTCCCAGCTCCATAAATAAAAAGTTGAAAGAGTGGCTTGGTATTCTGAATTTTCTGTTTTCCTCCTGATAATCTGGTCCCTTTTACATCCTCGGCAGAGAGCTACTTGATGAGCCCCCAGAAAGCACTGTGAGCACTTACTCTAATGAGCTTCCCTGGTAGATGGTATTTCAGATGTTGTCACAAGTTACTGCTTGGGGATCTGAGCCCATTCTGTGTCATTACATTAGGAGGGAACATTGGAAACCTGCAGCTGCTTTCCTCCAGAACACACACAACCACTAGAAAAGACTAAAGAAAGTTAATAATCCTAATGGACGAAATTTTTATTGGGTCTAAGGGTATAGCTGGGTTCAATCCCCAGAACCAAAACATTAAAAAAAGAAAGAAATATTGGTCAATGTCTATGCAGAGAAATCAGTATAAAGACTTCATCATTTTTAGAATAAACCAGATATCACTTCTCATGGCACAGTAGTGCACACCGATAATCCCAGATACTCAGTAGGCTAAGGCAGGAAGATCATAGGTTTGAAATCTGCCTGGGAAACTCGGCAAGCCTCTGTCTCAAAATTTTAAAAAAGGGCTTGGGAGCACCAACGGTGGAACACTTGCCAAGCATGAAGAGGGTCCTGGGTTCAACCACAAAGGGAAAAAAAGTGTCATTTCTCCCACAAGGCATCTCGAAAAATTCCATAACAAATGGAATTTGTTTAAGAACTACTTCTGTGAACCTCCAAGGAACAAGTGTCAAACAGTGGGTAAAGTCATCTGCAGAACAAAGTGAGGCTCATCTAACATGTCAAGGATTTTTCGAGTTACAATATTCTGAACAGGATGACATAGTAAGAGATAAACAAACAGATCAAGGGAATGGAAAAAGTCTTCAAAGGGCTGGTATTTACATGTAAAGTTGATTAATGACAGAAGAAAACACTGCAGAGAAATTCAAGGGCTCACTGATACTTTAATATGTGGGGAATGAACAACTGTTACCTAATTGAAAAAATGCATTGTACCACCTCTATTCCACAGATACTAACCAATTTGATGTAGGTTTAAATGTGAAATACATAAAAACACTTTCAGAAGTCACAGGCAAATTTTTTGTGTATAGTGCTGAAGATGAGACCCAGGACTTCCTGAACGCTAAGTACATACTCTACCACTGAGCTACAACCCAAGGCCCCTAATTTATTTTGATGCAAGAACAGGAAGAATTTTCTCATATAATAGTAAGCTATAAAAGATAAGACCAAGACATCAAATATATTAAAATGAAAAAAAGTTAAAAGACAAACCAAAGTAGGGCTGGGGATGTGGCTCAAGCGGTAGCGCGCTCGCCTGGCATGCGTGCGGCCCGGGTTCGATCCTCAGTACCACATACCAACAAAGATGTTGTGTCCACCGAGAACTAAAAAATAAATGTTGGAAATTCTCTCTCTCAAAAAAAAAAAAAAAAGACAAACCAAAGTAGAATATAATTATCTCTGATATATACAATATTAGTGTGCAAAATAAAAATAAGCACATAAGCCTGTAATCCCAAGGTAATCCCCCCATTCCCATGACCTCATGAGTTCTGGGGATTGAACCCAGGGGCTTGAATGTTGAGAGCCACAGCCGAAGGGGCCCCAGTAAACTTCCAGCTGCCAGCAAACTTCCAGCTGCCAGCTGATGATTGGCTCACAGCAGCCCCAGCAAACTTCTAGCTGCCAACTGATTGGCTCCTCTGCAGTGATGCTCATTGGGTTGTTTCCCCGCCCTTTCAGACCAGGAGCTGCTCATTGGGGGACTTTTTTTGGCTCCGCCCACACAACCCAGCCAATCCGCCTCAAGAGCAGGAGGAGTGGGGGAGGTTGAGAGGCTTGTGGGAAGCCCGTGGTGGCAGTTGGGCTCTGAAGGTTTTCCTGAAGAGCTGTGTGGTTTTGCGTGTGTTCTAAAAATAAAGTTCGTTTATTTTGACAAGTGGCTCCTGAATTGTGCCCAGCCAGACTGAGGCACTTGAGCATGCTAGGCAAGTACTCTACCACTGAAGTACATGCCCAGCCCTTTTTAAATTTTGAGACAGGGTCTAAGTTTCCAAGGTTTGTCTCAAATTTGCAATCTTCCTGCTGCCTCAGTCTCCCAAGTAGCTAGGATTACAGGTGTGTGCCATCTCATACACATATACCATATAAGATTTTGATGAGGAGGAAACAGCTAAATGAAATGGCAGGAAGTTCTTATAAGTTAGATTATGACTGAATGGCAAAAGAGTCAAGTGATATACTCCATTGCTATTTCCTGTAAATTTATACATGAGCATGACCTACAACCCAATGATTTTTCTCCAATGTGCAAAGGATTTACTGTATTTACTTAGTGGTGGATAGCAAAATGATAGGATTAGTATTTTTTAAAATATTTTTTTAGTTGTCAATGAACCTTTATTTTATTTTTTTATTATGTGGTGCTGAGAATCAAACCCAGTGCCTTACACATGCTAGGCAAGCGCTCTACCACTGAGCCACAACCCTAGCCCAGGATCAGAATTCTTTTTTTATATATATTTATTTTTTAGTTGTAGTTGGGCTCAATATCTTTATTTATTTATTTTTATGTGGTGCTGAAGATTGAACCCAGGGCCTCGCACATGCTAGGTGAGCTCTCTACCTAGCTACAACCCCAGAGTCACAACCCCAGCCCGATCACTATTTTTTTAAAAAATAATTGTAGTTGGACATAATACCTTTATTTTATTTTTTTTTATTTTTATGTGATGCTGAGGATCGAACCCAGGGCCTCATACACGCTAGGCAAGCGCTCTACGGCTGAGCCACAACCCCAGCCCCACCCCCCCATCTTTATTAGAGCAAAAAAATCAACCCAAGAAAGCCCAAACACAATAAATACTGGACAGAAAATATCCCATGTTCTATCATGTGTGAAACATGCAGAGGCAAAGAAACCACTCAAAAACCTATTCACTATAACTTCATTAATGCTCATTTGCAGAAAGTTCAGATAAAGCTAAAGTAAAAGAAGACTGTGTAACAGATAAGAAAAGACGATAAAGGTATAAAGACTAATCAAAGAATCAGGATGAACTAGTGAACATGAAGAGACTAATGCCTGCTCAGAGTCCACTTATGAATACATATTTTAAAAAGCACTTTACTGAGGTTGTGAACATTTAATGTATACAACCCCATGAGTTTGGGGATGAGTATACACCAGCTCAACCATCACCCCATAAGGCCACAGGCATAGCCATCAACAATCTCATTACTATCTCCACTCTCATTATTACTATTTGTTCATGTATACATTCTTGTTTGTGTTAACACAGTAAATAAATAAATAAATAAGAAAAAAGAACACAAGATCTACTTGAAAAGTTTTAACTGTAAAATACAGTATTGCTAGTAAAGGCACCATGTTGTACAGACCTCCACAATTTATCTGCATAACTTAAATGTTCCCTTGAACATCACCTGCTCATTTCCCCACTCCCCTGCAAATGATCATTCTACTCTCTGCTTCCAAGAATTCAAATATTTTAGATTATTACATATCTCATAGTATTTATTTTTCTGACTGTAACATCCCCCAAGTCTATTCTTAGTGTGGCAGGATTGCTCTATTTTAATATTCCATTGCATGTAAATATCACACTTACTCTACCCATTTCGCTCACTGATGGATATTTAGATTGTTTACATATCTTGACTATTATGAATGAGGCTGCAATACACATGGAAGTGTGGGTATCTCTTTGAGATTCTGATTGTAATTCTTTTACATAAATATGTACAAGTTGGACAACTGAAGAATATGGTAATTCTGTCTTTTTTTAATAAAAATTTTTTAGTTTTAGGTAGTGCTGAGAATCGAACCCAGTGCCTCATGCATGCTAGGCGAGCGCACTACCACTTGAGCCACATCCCCACCCCTCTTTAATTTTTTTTTAAGAGACAGAGAGAGAGAATTTTTTTAATATTTATTTTTTAGTTTTCAGTGGATACAACATCTTTATTTTATTTTTATGTGGTGCTCAGGATCAAACCCAGCGCCCTGTGCATGCCAGGCGAGCTTGCTACCACTTAAGCCACATCCCCAGCCCTCTTTGTTTTTATAATCCACTAAACTGTTACCCATAATGGCTGTACCCATTTACATTCCTACTAACAATGTATCAGGGTTCCCTCTCCTCAAAATCATCGCTGGCATCTACAGGACTATGGGCAGATTTCTTCACAAAAGCCTTGCAGGCCAACAGACAACAGGACAACATATTCAGAGTGTTGGAAGAAAATAACTGCTCAAGAAGACATTACTCAAGCAAGGCCAACCTTTAGAAATTAAGAGCTAAAGTTCCCAGGTAAACAAGCTGAGGGAGCCCCTGACCACTAGACTTGGAGAAGTACTCATTGGAGGACTTCAAGTTGAAACAAAACAATGCTCAATGGCAACATGAAAGCAGGAAGGTATAAAATTCAGTGATGAAAAAAAAAAAAAAAAGGATACATATATTCCAAGAATCCCAATGGATTCCTGAAACCTCAAATGGTACTGAACCCTATATATGAAACAGAGATCCTGTGAAATTAAATATTCCAAACTATTTTAGCTCTCAAACATCCTCATGCTGAAAAACCACCCCCTGGCCCAGCTGGGCACCAAGGAAGCTAGAACTGATATGTTCCCTGGCTAGCACAGCCTGACTAAGCCTACATATATCAGGTGCCTGGCTTTGTTTCTTTAAATAGTTCTGCTTCTGTAGGACTTGCAGAAAAACAATCTAGCTGCTTCCCAGTTTGATTAAATTCATTTTTCCTGTTTACATCATTTGCTTGTTTCTTATGCATGCAAGTGACTGAGATTCAGATGGGTTCCCTGAGCTGGCTGGCAGTAGCATAAGTACTGTTTTCCCTTATGCACACGTACCTATGATAAAGGAACAGTAAGAGATTACAACAGGCACAGTAAAAAATTAACAGTAACATCTAGGCCAGGGATGTGGCTCAGTGGTAGAGCACTTGCTTAGCATGCACAAGGCCTTGCATTCCATCCCAAGTACCACAAATGAACAATAACAACAATAATAAAGTAGAACAATCATAACAATGCTGTCATAAACTGGACATGGTGGTACAGGCCTATAATTCTAGCTGGTCAGAAGGCTAAGACAGGAGGATTGCAAGTTCAAGGCAGCCTGGGTAACTTAGTGGGACCTTGGCTCAGAATAAAAAATTAAAAGGGTTAGGCATATAACTCAGAGATAATACACTTGCCTAGCACTCCCAAGTCCTGGGTTCAACCCCCAGTACTACAAAATATAATAATAATACTATAAAATATATGTTATATGAATTTCTCTTTTTCTCTCTCAAAATACCTTACTGCATTGTACTCACCCTTTTTATGATGATGAGATTGTTACTAAGTGACTAGCAGGCAGGTATCATAGAACAGGGATATGCAGGACAAAAGGGTCCTTTTGTCCTTGATCTCAGGTAAGACACAAGATAGTGTGAGATATTAGCATACTATTCAGAAAGGTGAAAATTTTAAATTGTGAGTTGTTTATATTACTGAAAATTTCCATTTAATCAGACCATAGTTAATCACATGTAACTGAAACTATGAAAAGCAAAGCTATGGGTAGAGAGTCCTACTGTGGTCATATCTAAAATATTCTAACACTATAGTGGTGGTATGTATATTTCTAATTCCAGCATAAGTTAAAAGACCAAGGTATAAAAAATAAACATAAATCTGAGTTCCATCTGCATTACCCCACACACACACATACACACACACACAAAAAAAAAAAACTAGAATGACAACAACAAAAAATAGTCATTTCAACAAGTAGTGCTAGAAAAACTGGACTTCATCTTTTGGAAATATTTCACATCTTCCCCCAAGATCTCTTCATGACACATATTTTATATTTCTGAAAGAAAATGAAAATCAAATGAGTACTTAAATCTTTTCAGGGTGACGAACTGAGGGACAGTGATGACCTGGAGCTGTGCTAAAAGGTCAGACTTCCCAGGAAAGTTTGCAAATAGGAACTTCTATCCAAGAGAGTTCCCTTAGGATGTATGTGCCTGGAAAAGTGACTAAGAGGCACAAAGATATCAGACAACCTAGCTTCAGGTGACTATTCTGCGCTTCCCTCTCATAAGAATATCCACAAACAACTGAATTTTTTGAAAAGAAGAACTGTTAATTCATATGTGGAAAAATGGTAATTAAAATACTGCGTTTAATTGAAATGCACCACCGAGGATGCTTTTAATGAGTGATGCTGTCAACTGGAGAAGGGAAGGTGGCATCTGGGCATGCGAAAACCTATCTAGAAATTAGGAATTTACTGTCAGCTCTAGGAAAGGCTGGACCCGGGCACAGAGCTGTGGATTTGCGACCCCCGTTTCTCAGATATTTAGAAAGCTCGGGAAAATGGGTCGCCCTTGGGGAGGAAAGCGAAACCCGGGCCTGGGTAGACCGCAGCTCCTCCCGCGCACGGATCCAACGCGCGAGTGAGGGTCTCCCGGTGACCCAGCCGCGGTCGCCGCAGTCTGGGGAGACGTGCGGCGGAGCTGCCCGGATAGGCTCTGGGCCAGGCCCAAGTCGCCGCGCAGAGGCAGGGCAGGAGACCAGGGTCCCAGCTGCCTGTCGGAGCTACGGCGGACGGTAAGGGAGCCAGGGCCGAGCGGCGCCGGCGGACTGGACCGCAGACTCCAGAGCCAGGCGAGGAGGCCCGGGTCCCGCCCCGGCCGCTTCCGGCCGGCTCCTTCAGCCCCTCCCCGCCCCTGGAGGCCTGGTCCCAGCTCACCATTTCCCGGCTTCCGGGTGTCCCGGCGTCCTCCCTATGGCTCGGGCGGCCCGCGCAGGTGCTAGTGCCACCTGAGGCCCTCCAGCGGCGATGAGACCCAAGGTGGAGAGCGGCCCCAGCGCGTAGCGTCCTCCTGCCGTGCGCGCCGCGGCTCCCGCCCACACCTTTCCGGCGGCGTTCCTGATTGGACGGTTCTCACTGACACGCCCCCTTTGTGACAGCGGAGCGGAAAGACGCTCACCCAGCCGCCGGGGTGTTACCCGGGCCGGGAACCGGTACCCGTGAGGGGTTTTTGGCTTTAAGCACAAGTCGTACTGCTCCTTGGGTTTGGTGTTGGTGGCTTCCTACAGCTCCTGCTCATCGCGGAGACAGAAGTGTGTGCAGGGAATCACGGGTTTAGTTTCTAGAGAAAGCGAGGCCTTTTGTTCAGGTCTTGCAAGGTACAAACTGAAGGGTCAGATGTCTTAGGCTTGACCTAAGACTTTGAGGCCTCCTGTGGACTTATAAGGCTTGTTTACAAACACAAACACTTAAAGTAACCTCGCCGTATCCAACAAAGACTCTGGCTCCATTTGGTCTTTGACAATTGACAGGGTTGAGCCTTCCCCCAAACACTTGGTACTGGTACTAAGTGGTAAAACCCGAAGCCCTAGCCTGGGAGGAGAAACTTTCTCTAGATAAGTCACAAGCTATGAGATACGTTCCTTAAAACTATGAACTGTACATTTTGCACTGGATGGATATCCATCAATTTGTGCACCTAGAGAACTTTGGAATGGAAATGGTTGTGATATTCATAAGGCGATTAATTCCCGTTTTTTCTGCCATTAGAGAAAACATTGAATAAACCTTAAGTTGGATCGAAACTCCTAAGGCGTTTACTTATTTATTTGAACAGTTTTATATAATGCATACTCACACAATACATCTAATTATAGGGTAGAATTCAGTGGCTTTCAATATATTCACATATACATACAATCATTAGTGCAGTCGATTTAAAAAAAAAAAACCTGGGGACTTAATCCTGGGGAGCCCCACCGCTGAGCTAAAGTCCCTTTTTACTTTTTTTGTGACAGAATCTCTCTAAATTGCCCAGGGTGGCCTGGAACTTGTAATCTTCGTGTTTCTTACGCCACGCGGCGGCTATTCTGCTTTTTGAGAGAGAGAGTCTTGCTGGGTTGGCCAGGTTGACCTCGAACTCCTTGGGCTCAAGCAAACTCTAGGTTCCCTGCTTCATTCTCCACAGTAGCTGAGACTACCAGGCACAGGCCACCACGCTCCGTTAATTACTGTTATTTTAGAACATTTTCAACACCTCATAAAGAAATGCCTTCATATGGTAACCCATAAATGTGTATCATTATGTATCAATTTAAAATTAGGGGCTGGGGGGTGAAGTTCAGTAGTAGAGTGCTTGCCTAGAATACTAAAGAGCCTGGGTTTCATCCCCAGAACAACAACTACAAGAAATAAAGAAGAAACTCTATAAAGAGCTCTTTAGCTCTCCATCTCCTATCTTTTCACTTCTTTATCTAAGCCTCTAGGCTTAATTTACTTTCTGTTGCTATAGTTCCGTACTTGGAATAAAATCAGGTGTTCTTTGTAATTAACTTTATTTACTTGTCATAATTATTTCCAGTGACATTTGTGTTGTAGTATGTATTAATATTTGCACTCTACTAAGTTTTCCATGTTGCCTGGAACTATTGATCCTCCTGCCTCAGCCTCTGAGTAACTGGGATTATAGGCCCTTTCATTTTGGGCTCAAATTTATTCATTTTGTTAACCTCAGTGAACTTTCTAGTATCCAAATAACTCATTCGCTTATCCATTCATGTCTGTTTATAACATTTGGTTGTTTCATTCTTTTAAACTATTATTAATAAATTTGCTATAAACATGTACAGTTTTTCAATGGACATTTAATTTCATTTCTTTTAGAGTGGAATGAATGGGACTCCTAGTACTTCTATGTTTAATCTCCAAGAAACTAACAGTTTTCTAAGAAGGCTACTGTACTAGATTCCCACAAGCAATGCATGAGGATTCTAATTTTTTTTCATATCTTCAGCATCATCATATTCCCTCCCCCTTTTTTTGAAGGGGGCAGTGCTACAGATGGAACCCAAGGTCTTGCACATGTTAGACAAGTGCTTTACCTCTGAGCTATACCCCCAACCCAGAATTTTTTTGATTCTAGTCATCCTGGTGACTGTGAAGTGGCATTTTTTTTTTTTTTTGAGACAGGGAAGGAGAGTAGTCTCACTATGTTGCCCAGGCTGATCTTGAACTCAAGTGATTCTCCTACCTTGGCCTCCAAAGTAGCTGGACTACTAGTGTGTGGTACCACAACTGGCTTCATTGTGGATTTTTTTTCTGTTTCTTTTTTCTTTTTTGGGGGGGGGCAGTACTGGAAATTGGACCCAGGCGTGCTCTACCACTGAGCTACATCTTCAGCCCTTTTTGTATTTTTTTATTTTGAAGCGGGCTTTTAAACTACTCAGTCTGACCTCAAATTGAGGTCCCCCTGCCTCAGCTTCCCAAGTAGCAGGGTTTGTAGAAGTGTGCCACCATGCTAGAGCTTCATTGTGGTTTTAATTTCCATTTCCTTCATGGATTATAATGTTCAACATCAGTGCTGGGGATTGAACCCAAGGACTGGAGCATACTAGGCAAGCACTTGACCACTGAACCACGCCCCCTAGCACAACATCTTTCTTTTTTTGGGATAGGGCACTGGGGATTGAACTAAGGGGCCCTCAACCACTGAGCCACATCCCCAGTGCAATTTTGTATTTTATCAGAGACAAGGTCTCACTGAGTTGCTTAGTGCCTCACCTTTGCTGAGGCTGGCTTTTTCACCATCCTCCTATCTCAGCCTTCTGAGCTGCTGGGATTATAGGTGTGTGCCACCCAGCCCGGCCCCAAAATCTTTCTTTTTAAAAAATCTTTATTTTTAAAATAAATAAAATAGTAATTGTGCATACTTATGGGGTACAGTATGACATTTCAGTAAATGCATATAATGTTATGATCACGTCAGGGTAACTGGCATATCTATCATTTCAGACATATATGATTTCTTTGTATTGGAAGATACTCAGCATTTTTCATTTGCTCTTGGTCATTTGTATATCTTCCTTGGAAAACTGCGAATCGGCCTGGCGCAGAATCCTCTCTGGGCAGCTCCGCCTGCAGCCCCTCTTCTCCCAACTGTGCAGTGACCCATGGAGGGTCACTGTGACGCCAACTCCTTCAAGGGAGTCGTGCATGGGAGGAGCTGCCTCTCTCCCCAGCTCAGAGCAGGATCTCAAATCCTCAGCCCCACCACGCTCTCCCCAGTGCTGGCTACAGATCCCAAACTTCCAGTTTCCGACCCACGTTCCAAGTTCCATCCTCTCTCCAGTAGACATTATTATTACTTGTCCTATTAAATAAAGTTTATAGAAGATCACTGGTTTAGGGCTGGAGTTGTGGCTCAGCAGTAGAGTGCTTGCCTAGCACATGAGGCCCGGGGTTTGATCTTCAGCACCACATAAAAATAAAAAAATAGGGCTGGGGATGTGGCTCAAGCGGTAGCGCACTCGCCTGGCATGCGTGCGGCCCAGGTTCGATCCTCAGCACCACATACCAACAAAGATGTTGTGTCCGCCGAGAACTGAAAAATAAATGTTAAAAAATTTCAAAAAAAAAATAAAATAAATGTATTGTGTCCATCTACAACTAAAAAATAAATATTATAAAAAAAAAAGACCTCTGATTTGTTCTGAGTTCCTGAACTAGGTCCAGCTGACCACACCAAATAGATATACTCATACACAAGTTCCATGTCAGCAAGTCCAATCTGCCAAGAAAATCAGGAGACAGACAATGGCCAGATCCCCAAATGGGCCAGTGTTAGTCTGGGTGATTAGAAAAAAAAAGCCCCTTTTGCTTTAACCTTTCTGTGGAAAGTAACTTTGAACAGAACAATGGGACTTTTGTTCTCTCTCAGCCCTTTTCTGCCTTTAAAGCCCAAACTCCTTCTGCTCAGCTCACCGAAGAAGCACACATTCAGATTTATAGAATCTGTTTTAGAATTGCAAATAAAAACCAATCAGATGTTTTGATTTGATTTTGTTATCTATGCTGATTTTCAAACTATGGCACTGTTTTTTGTTTTGTGTGTGTTTTATTTTTTTTAGTTGTGGATGGACCTTTATTTTATTGTATTTATATGGTGCTGAGGCTCGAACCCAGGGCCTCACACATGCTAGGCAAGCGCTCCACCACTGGAGCCACAACTCCAGCCCCTATGACACTGTTTTTCCCCGTCAGTACTGGGGATTGAACCCAGTGCATGCATGGCTAGGCAAGCATGGTGTTAGTTTGCCCAGGCTGCCCCGAAACTTGCCATCATCCTGCCTTAACCTCCTGAGTAGCTGGGATTACAGGCCTGTGCCACCATGCCTGGTTAAATGCACTATTTTAAATATCATTTCTTTTCACAGAGCAGTGGATGGTTTTATTTGTTTTCTTTTGTTTATTTTCATAGTTTAGATGGATACAATACTTTTATTTTATTTATCTATCTTTATGTGGTGTGGAGGATCAAACCCAGGGCCTCACACATACTAGGCAAACGCTCTTCCACTGAGCTACAACCCCAGCCCTGGATGGTTCTTTTTTTAAATTTGCTTTTTTTTTGAGAATTTTTACAAGAGAAAGAACAACACTTGGAACTGGTTGCACAAAATCTTTGTGCGTCTCCTCTAGTGACTCCAAGCCATGATTCCTCTTGAGCAGCATCTTTCCTGGATATAGTTATCTTGTGGGATCTCTTCAGGGTTTTTTTGAAGTTCCTCTTTGCAAACTTTTTGGGTGATCTAACCTTTCAGCATTGTTCAGTTGAGTACTGTCCCTCTCTGCATTTGTCACCTTAAAAAGATTAATATCAGAATGTTTAAAAACATTCACGAATATGCTTAGCAACAAATTTTAGACAAAAACAAGGCATTGGTGAACTTGAAAATAGTTAATAGGAAAAGAATTTAATGAAATTATATAAAGTTGAGTAACCTTTGGGGCACTATTTATTAGTTTAATATATGTATAAGTGAATATCATGAAAAGGAAAAATGATGGATGGAATGGGTAAAAAGTAATTAAATAAGTGAAGCCTAAATTTTAAAACAGTATAGTGAAAAGCCCCCAAAATTTATGTACTCATTTGAGTCTCATTTTTTCCAGTAAATGCAAAATATTTATAATTAATAAAGTGTGATACAATATATTTCCAAAGAGGCAAGAAAGACATGAATTTCAGGGGGAAAAAATTTTCAGTGTTACATTTGTCTTAATTCTCGTTTTCCTATTTCTTCTTGGAGCATATATAGTAAGTTTCTCGGGTCTGTTTTTTCTTTTTTGATGATTTCAAAAAGAATTCCAGGGCTTAAGTTTCTAACACCTTGAAGTGTTCAAATATGAGTTTATAAAATAATTTCTTGCCTTGGAAGTAACAATTGATTGACAGCATTTTCTTGTTATGTGTGTTTTGGGTGGGTGCCGAGGATCAAACCGAGGGCCTCCTGCATGCTAGGCAAGCTTTCTCCCAATACTTCATTTTCTGAAAAGAACAGAAACTTGTGGGTTTTCTTGTGGAATTAGTAAATATTCCTTATAGTTTTCTCTCTTCCTTCTTATACATAAAAGTTGGATTGAGTGATTTTGCAGGATTCTTCAAACACTGAGTTTGTTTCATTTAAGATATTAATGTTGGGCTGGGGTTGTGGCTCAGTGGTAGACCAGTTGCCTGGCATGTGTGAGGCCCTGGGTTGGATCCTTAGTACCACATATAAATATGAAGATGTGGCTCCATGTAAAACATTTGCCTGGCATGCACAAGGCCTTGGGTTCCATCCCTGGCACTGCTAAAACAAAGACTTATCTCCAGTTTCTCTAAATAAACAAATGCATAAACTTATATACTAAGAAAGAATCCTGGGGCTTGTCATCTGGTAGTATGTGAGGAACCTATAGATTAGTCCCAAAGGAAAGTGATAAGTGTAAAAAAGAAAATCATCAGATGAAAAGCCTCCAGGAAAGCTCTGAGGGTACAGAGCAACAGGAGAAACACTTACGGAAATCTATGTAAATTTGGTAAAAAGGAGAAAGTTCACCAAATTTGAAATAAGGTTACTCACACACTTCCTTTGTCTCAGCTCAGGGAGGTTGGAGACTCTACAGCCCAAAACACAAGACTCTTTCTGCCTTAAGTTTGCACAGAGAGAGCTTTCCTCCTGAGAGGTGCAAACTTCACTCTCTCTCCATTCCCAGCTACCTAGGACTGTGCCTTAAATATGGGAGACAGAGTGAGAAGTGAGAATGCCCTTCTTCCAAGAAGCCTGCACTTGATTCATAGAGGCTCACACTTGAGTGTAACATGTTTTAAATACTAAGATCAAGACTGCTAAGATCAAGCTGGGAGTGTAGCTCGGTGGAAGAGCATGTACAAGGTCTACAGAAAATAACACCCAACACAATAGGAGAAAAAGTGAAAACTCACAAAAGAATATAATAAAACTTCACATACTTATAGATTGATGACAACTATTTATTAACAAGGAAAACTGAATAAAGCTGTTTTTGTCCCAATTTTTTTAAAATTAGCATTTCCCATAAGAAAGCTGGAATATATAAAATAGGTAAAAGAAACCAGTAGAAAAATTTCAAGAATTAAACTCATTTTCACTGGCCTATTAATCACAGAAAATTAAACTGTGTAATAATGAAGACAACCTGCAAATAAGAAATACACATCAGATTCATACACAGAACCAGCATGGTTCCAAATGGCAAAAAAAAAAAAAAAAATTAGCTGACTTAAAAATAAAAACATTACCTGTTAAACTCATTATTTACAGGTACTTACAGAATGATCTCACTCCTGTGCTAATTTGCAAAAGGAGTAGAAGTCCATGGTACACAGATCCACTTTAATGATAAATGTGGGAAAGTGATAAAATAATAAATACCTTTACCATTTTTACAATATTTCTTCAATGCTGGGAATCTTCTTCAGCATTACACACAAAACTAACTTCCACTTGAGCTTTCCATATTATCTTTATAGGATTTTCACAGGACTCAAAATATTTGTTAAATTGATTTTTTTGTTATTTTAAAAAATAATAGGATTTCAATTCACTGTATATATTTTGAATATTTCTTTAATATTACATTGAAATATTATCTTTAAATACAATATTATCTCAGTGTAAAAAACCTAAGGGGGAAAAAATTTGTTTTCAAAGAACCAGACAAGCTTTGGATTCACACTGAAATACTACCTTGAACAGTTTGAATTCATTCTGTATTCCTACATATTTTGGTCAGAATGTGGGACAATTGGAGGCTTTTCTACAACACTTATATATGCCTTTGAACTGAACTGGAAGGATGGAGGGATTCTAACACCCTGGCATTCATAAGGTATTTCACCATTATGCATTCTCTCATATGCTGAAGTTTGTGCAATGAATAAAAGTTTTTCCACACTGGTTTCTCTCTTCCATAAGTGTGACAGTTAAAAATATGCTTTCCCACATTTATTCCCTTCATAAGGTTGCTCTCCAGTATGAGCTCTTACATATATCAGAAAGTAAAACTAAAGACTTCACCATAAATTTTTGCCATGTTTTCAAAGGAACTGGGAAAACTGAAGATTTTACTTTGCTTTTTATTCAAAGAATTCTTCTCCAATATAAGCCCTTGCATGCATTCCAAATAAGCTTTTGAAGGTCTGAGGCTATCCCACATTCATTACACACACAGGGTTTCTCTCCAGTGCAAATTCCTTTCTGTACTAGGAAAGTGAACTAGGACAGAAAAGGTTTTCTTGAATACCTTACATTTAATTTATAGTATCATCCAGTGTATGCGATTACTTGTCCTGAAATGTCTGAAGAAGAAATAAAGGCTTCCCCACACTCTTTAGTCACAGAACTCTAAACAACATGAGCACTTTCATGCCTTAGAACTGCACTGGGAAAGCCAAAGGCTTTCCCACAAAATTTACATTTATAAGGACCAACTCCAGTGTGTCTTATCATGTGTCCTTGAAGGCCTGAGAGAGAAATGTAGGCTTTCCCACACTGCTTACATTCATAGGGTTTTTCTCCTGTGTGACTCCTTTCATGTTTTCGAACTGAAGTTGAACAAATGAAGGCTTTGCCACAATGTTTACATGGATAAGGTTTCTCTCCAGTGTGAGTTCTTTCATGTTTTCTAAGTGCACTAGGAGAGTTGAAGGCTTTTCCACATTCCTTACATTTATAAGGTCCACCTCCAGTGTGCCTTATCATGTGTCCTTGAAGGCCTGAGAGTGAACTAAAAGCCTTCCCACACTCTTTACATTTATAGGGTTTCTCTCCAGTGTGAGTTCTTTGATGTCTTCGAACTGAAGCCAAGCAGCTGAAGGCTTTCCCACACTGTTTACACTGATATGGCTTCTCTCCAGTGTGAGTCCGTTCATGTACTCTAAGTGAACTGGGATACTGGAAGCCTTTTCCACACATGCTGCATTTATGTGGTCCACCTCCAGCATGTGTTATCACATATCCTCCGAGGCTAGTGAGGGAAATGAAGGTTTTCTCCTGCTCCTGACACTCATAAGGTTTCTCTCCAGCATGACTGCTGTCATCAATTTGCAAAGAGCAATAGTAACTTGAGGCTTTCTCACACTGCTTACACTTATATGGCTTTCCTTCATAGTCCTGATATTCAAACAATTCCTGTCCAGTGTGGGATCCGATTGGACTGTTAAGGGATGCACGAGGCATAAAGACTATCCCACACACACTACATTCATGTAATTTTACTCCAGTTGGGATTTTCTTGGTCAGATTATGATCTGGAATCTGGGTGAAGATTTCTCCACATTGACTATTTTCTTCACTTTCTCTGAGTCTCTCTATAATATGTTTACTGTTTAAAAAAAAAAAAAAAGAACATATTAACTACTAACAATTTACCTTTATACATTTTTGATATGTATTAAACTTACTTTTTAAAAAAGTTTATTATATGTGGTGCAGAGAATAGAATCCAGTGCCTCAGGGCTGAGATTGTGGCTCAATGGCAGAGCGCTTGCGTCCCAGGTATGAGGCACTGGGTTTGATCCTCAGCACCACATAAAAATAAATAAATAAAGTTATTAAAAA